CTTGCTGTATACTTCCAGCATACGAAGTATGACCCTGCCTCTGGGCCTTTGCACATACTGTTCCCTCTGACTGGACAGCTCTTCCTCCAGGTATCCATGTATCTTGCTCCCTCATTTCCTTCAGGTCTTGTTCAAATGTCACCTCCCCCAGGGTACCTTTCCAGATCATTCTATTTAAAATCCCAACTCTCAACTCCCCTTCAACCACTTGCCTACCTCCTTCTTTGCTTTATTCTTCTCCATTGCACCATAGGACTACAACTGGAGTCCAGAAAATTCAGTCATGTTTGGAGAGTTATGTTAGTGTGAGGTTAATGAGATGGCGTGGAAGAGTGTGTGCTGACCATCTAAGCATGCCAGGAGTCTGGGAAACAATTGTGTTACATCTTCTGTTACCCAGAGTGCGTTATGTGTGGTTTTATTGTACTCTGTATTTCACTTATTTTTCTACTGTCAGTCTCCTCCCACTAGAAGGCAAGCTCCAAGTACTGCTGTATCTCCATCATCAAGAGTCTGCACCTCCAGGCATGTTCTAGGTGCTGAGTAAACAGTTACGAGATGAATGAATGAATGAATGCCCTGTGGGTCTCCGTCGTTGACATACTCTCTGAAATGCACATGCTCACTGCACTGCTTTCATGAGCTGAAGCCAGTGGAACCTGGAGGTCATTCCAGAGCATCTTCTGGAGGCCTGCTTCTCTTTGCCATGAAGTTATTCATCAGAGTTGCCTGCAGAGTAGGAGATCAGTGTCTCCAGTACAAACCTTGAGTAGATTTCCTTTGAAGTCAGTCTCTTAGAGCAGTGCTTCTCATTTGGTATGAAAGACCAGTTTTCATTGTTTGCTTTTTAATTTCCAATACATCATGGACTGACACATTAGTAAAATAAAATAAAATAAATACTAGAAAAATTAGATTTAAATTAAAAAAAAACAAACAAAATACAAGTCTAGAGATATGGTCTGAGATGTCATAGCAATGCAAGTTGCTTTAAAAGATTCTCAATGTTTACTTCTCAATATCTGTCCTTTCTCAACATGAACTCGTGGCTGATCCATTGACCACAGTCTGGGCAGCTCTGACTTACAAGACTAAGCCTTTCGAGTGCTTTTACTGTATTCATATTCTACTCCCTTTCTATGGGTTAAAATTTTATCATCCAACCACTTCAGCAAACAAAAGGAGAGCTGAAATTTTTTATTTGCTTTCTTTTGTATTTATTCATTCCCCAGTTATTTCTTGGGTACTTACAATGTCCCGGGCAGTGAGCCACATTGTGAGGACACCACAGTGGACAAGACAGAGCCAGCCCCTGCCCTCCTGGAGCTCTCAGCCTAAGGAGGGAACAAATGAACTGTGACATGTGCCATGAAGGAACAGAACTGAGTGCCATGGAGAGGGCTGACTTAGGTCATAGAAGACCTTCCTGGGGAAACAACATTTAAGCTGAGAAATTGTGGCTATAAAAATAGAGGGGTGTACATTCCAGACAGGGGGAACAACATGTGCAGTTTGTCTATTTAAAATGGAAAATGCATGTACTCTTGGATGCAGCAATTTCATTTCTCATATCCACTCGAGACAAGCTCTCTGACATTGCAGGAGGAGGAAAGTCCAGTCCGTATTGGGTTGTGATGGTAAAAACTGGAGTCAACCTAGAGTCCTTCCTCAGGGGACTGGCTGAATGAGCACTGATATTCCACACTTTGGGTTTCCATTCATCCACTAGAATGAGTAAGAGTGGCTGAGCACGTGGCTTGAGCAGAGTGAGAGAGCGAGCCCTGGGAAAGCAGTGAGGCCGGAGGGAGGGGCAGAGCCATGTAGGGCCTTGGGGGTCACCACAGAGAGTGTAGATTTTATTCCAGGTGCACAGGGAAACAGACTGTACCAAGTGCACCACTAACCACTCCCAGAGGACTAAGCAAAAAGGAGATGCCATATAAATATTGCTTGTTGCTGTCATCATTATTGTTACTGAAGTCTTATACTGTCTATAGCATAAAACCCTTTTACACCCATGATGAGGAGCCATCAAGATAAGGAGCCTTGACTTCAGCGTTATCTGTCAGTTGCAAGACCCCAATCAAGTGGACTGGCTTCTGAACCTCAGTTTTCGTATCTTTGAAATGGGGGAAATAATATTGCCTATCTTGTGGGATTGTCATGAGGATGAAAGAGATGTGTGTTTTTAAGTTCCTTGTTCAGTCTTATATGTTCATTCTTTCCCCTTCCTTTCATTTCCTGACAACCTGCATTTCATAAAGAAGGAGACTTCCAAGCTCGGGTTGAAGGAGAAACTGTCCAGGTCACCAGGCAATGAGGCAAATCATCCAGGACTACAGCCCAGAACTCGTGACTCAAAATCCATTTGTTTTTACCCCACGAAGCACTCTTTTGTTTTGTGGGGGTGCCTGGGTGAGAATGAGGGAGACCTCAATTACAAAACCATCCCCAGAACTAGAAATTGATCTTTAAAAAAATGAAAATTTAAACAGCAGCAAGATTCTGTTTTATACCTAGAAAACAGACAAGGATAAGCAATGTTTGCTAATGCACTTGATGCCGGGTGTGGGGAAGCAGGCACAGACTCACTATTGCAGAACTGTTCGAGTGCAATCTAGGGAGCACTATTGAGCAACATCCATGAAAATTTAAGGTGCTCTTGCCCTTGGACTCAACAATTCCAACTGAATTTACCCAACTGAACACACGAGGGTACTTCAAAAGTTCATGGAAAAATAGAATTAAAAGATAATACAAATCTTTCCACAAGTTTATCGCAGATCCCTCATGTATGTATATGTGTATACAGCTGCATCTTACATTATAATCATAAAATCTCAAAACCACCCAAAAGCCCATGAATAGAGGAAGCCACACAATGGAATAGTACAGTCATAAATACAGAATAAGGAAGAACCTTATAAGCTGATGGAGAATAATCATTATCACACGCTGTGAAATAATAAAAGTAAAAAGAGAAAAATGCATTTATTTTTTTAAAAGAGGGAAAATATATATGTTTATATTACATTTACAGTAACCCACCCCATTTATGGTTTTGCTTTCTACAGTTTTAGTTACCCGTGGTACAGTACAGTAAGATATTTTGAGAGAGAGACCACATTTACATAACTTTTATTACATAACTTTTATATTGTTATAATTGTTATATTTTATTCTTAGTTATTTTGTTAATCTCTTGTTGTGCCTAATTTATAAGTTAAACTTTATCATACATATGTACGTGTAGGAAGAGCCATAGTATCTACAGGGTTTGGTACTATCTGCAGCTTCAGGCATCCTCAGGGGATCTTGAACGTATCCCCTGCAGATAAGCGGGGATACCTACTGTGCATACATATAATATACATAAGCTTCTATGTGCACAGCACCTGTTCACAGAAGTGAATGTGAGAAGCTGGTAATAGTGGTTGCCTGCGGGAAGATTAGCTGGGGATTGGGGTCAGGGATAAGGAGAGACACTTTTCTTTATGACTTCTGTACTGTTTGAATTTTCTACAGTGTGTTTATTACATTTTCAATAAAAATAAAATTAATGGGCTACTGGTAATGGATCAGTCTCTCTCACTTAATACAGTCCCTTCCCCAGCCAGTTGCTCATGGAATTGGTACCTGTGCTTTGGGTAAGCATGTCAGTTTGGCTGAAATAGAAGGCAGATTTGTAACTGTGGCCTTTGGATAAGCAGGTCCCCCCATGAGAAGAGTAGAAAGTGTGTCTTAAGGTGAAGCGTCATCACCTTTACAGAGGCAGAATGGTTCATTAATACATTCACCCAAAATTGTGATGGGCATTGAAGCCACACAAGGTGCTACTCAGTGGACTAGTGGGCTGCAAACTCACATAACCTGCAGAGCTAGACAGGTAGCACAGAGATGACCCCATGTACAAAATGCCTTTCCTCTCCCCAACTTTGATAGTGTCCTTCCAAGGATGAAAAAAAAAAAAAAAGCACAACTGCAATGAAAAAATAGCACCTTAAAACCAGCCTCAGTGTCATTGAGATAGTACAGAATCTGTGGAAACACAAACTGGGGAATCTACAAGGGGAGCCTGTTGTCACATGGGAACTCAGGCATAGGGTTGCTGGACCATCCTGCTGCTCAACAGAAACCATAAGTCCAGATTTCTTGGCAAAATCTCCTGATTTTTAAACAAAAGTAACTAATTCAGATTTTCCTTAAAAATATGTAGGCCAAGCAAAATACAAGTATGTCTGCAGGCTAGTTTCAGCTGACAGGCCACCACATTGCAATTCCTGCTGTCTTGACAAAGTAGCTCTTCTGCAGGTGACTAGGATGTATCCTAACCATGTGTCCTTGGTGCTTCTTTTTCCTCCTGCAAAGGCATCAAGACAGAAGATAGCTTGAACCACTCTCCTGGCCAGAGCGGATTCCTCAGCTATGGCACGAGCTTCAGCACCCCAACCACTGGACAGAGCCCGTACACCTACCAGATGCATGGTCAGTGTGGCACGCCGCCCCTCCCTGCCCGTCTGTAAGGCACCACTTGGGTTGGATGTTCATTCATTCATTCACTTATTCAGCACATTTACTGAGCACCTACTATGTGCCAGACTCTAACACAAATAGTGGAGTCACAGTGGTGGACAAAAGCAATATGAGATCTGCCCTCATGGCAATTATCTGGCAGCAGGGAAAGATGTTGATAAACAAGTCAACAGATAAGCCAGACAATTTGGGAAGGGAGTTAATGTAATAAAGCAAATAAATACAGTATTTGGATAGATAGTGATAAGCACTTAGGAGGTCAGGAGAAATAGGATGTGTAATTTGATCAAGTCATTAGGAAAGGCTCTTAGAAGAGATGACATTGGATAGAGACCCAAAGGGTGAGGCGGAACCAGCCGTGTGGACATCTCAGGTGAAAGCATTCCAGACAGAGGGAACAGCCGGTGCCGGAGCCATATGGAGGGAAATGTCATGATGTATTTGAGGTGCAGAGTGGAGATTGGTGAGGCTGGAGCAGAGTCAGAGGGCACAGAGGAGGAGAGAATCTTGGAGGAAGAGCAGGGCTGAATCACATGGGTTCTTAGTGCTGCGGGAAGGAATTGGCCTGTATTTTAAGTGTGATGGGACAGGTAAACCTATTGTAGAGACTCAGAAATGTCGGGTGCTGGGAATATTAAATAGGCAAGTAAAGGAGCTATTATTCCAGGAAGGAGGTTCAAGGCTCTGCATCCCCATAGGGCAGCCTTAGAAAGGAAAGAAAGAACTCCATTGTGTAACCCCTCACCCCACATACCATAAGAACTGGCTTGCTGGATTCTCCTGTGCCTACCTCCACCCTTTTACCTTTTAAGGGCCTTCTCTCTGCTCTATGCCCCCTTGGGAGCATGTTGGAGTTGGTGCATGGAGCAGAGGGCTGGTGGCAATAACTTTGGGAATCCCCATCGTGGTATTCTTTTTCCTCATACAAGGTGGTAAAAATGACCATCGAGAGTCTGAAAGGTAAAATGGAAAAATGAAAGGGTAATGGCAAGGTGGTGGACTTTTCTTTTTTAGAAAAACTGCTTGCATGTATTGTCATTTTATCTTTTTATGAAGGAAACAATAAAAATTGATGTCAAGGGCGGCCTTTCAGGGAAAAAATTGTGAAGGAACAGCAGATGATCTTAGGGGTTTGTGTAAAGAAGAGGGGAGGTGGTGAGCATTCATGCCCAGCTTGGAATAGCTTCCATGTGAAGGTCTGCGTCCACTAACCTTGACCCAACATTCACGAGGTGCCTGGTGATGTTCTGTGGATCATATCATACAACCTTCATGACACTCTAAAGTGCTGGTACTTGTATTATTCCCATTTTACAGAAGAGGAAACTGAGGCATAAAGGGAATGACTGATTTGTCCCACATCAGGACAAGGAGTTTAGATTTTACTGCAAGTGCAATGAAAAGACTTTACTGCGTCAAGCCTCTTGGGGGTCTGGTGGAATCCCAACCTCCAGCCTCACTCCAAAGCCCGTGCCCTTAACCATGACATCTCCTGCCTCCTCTGCTTCCACTGTCACCTCTGTCTCCACAACAGTACTTTTCTGAGTCCCATTGGAAGGTATAAGCTGCTGTAAGTGGGGAATGAATTATGGCACAAATCAGGCTTGTGAGGACACCGAACTCGAACTTGCATTTGCGTCAAACTCAAGCCAGTTTCTTTCCAACTCCTCAAATAGAAACCGAACTTATTGCCTTAGGGCTTTTAAGGCTGCAGAGGTTGAAAAGCAAACACAGTCCACCCTCCCCCATTTTGGCACCTCTCCCCCACCCCCAGCTGCATAAATGACTTATTATGGCTCCTCATTCATTCATTCATTCATTCATTCATTCATTCTGTATTATTGAGCACCAGCTTTACAGCTGGCACCCTTTTAGGCACTTGGAGTATAGCAGTCAACAGAGACCATCTCTCATGGAGAGAGATATACGATAATCAATTAACAATAAACAGATAATGGCAGGTTTTGATTAAGCCTGTGAAGGTTGCCAACAGGGTGTGTGATGGACCCATGACCAGGGAAGGAATGGTGACCAACATTAACAGGGTGGTTAGGGGCCTCCAGATGAAAAGGAGGCAGCCATGTGAGGAGCTGGAGACAGGGCAGCCAGGCAGAGGCGGAGCAAGAACAAAGGCCCTGAGGCAGGAAAAGGCTCCCAGAGTTAAGGACCCCAGAGGAGACTCGTGAATCTGGTGAAGGGAGGTGAGATTGATTGGAAAATGAGGCAGGAGCCCTCCCCGGACCCAGGAGGTGTAGGATAACGTATTTCTACTCTGGTCCTTATGGCAACCACGTGAAGGGGCACCATCAACCCTGCTTTACAGATGATGACAGGGAGGCTCAGGGAGGGCAAGTGACTTGCCCAGGATCACAGAGCCAGCAAGTATTCCGAGCTGGGATGTAGACTCCAGTTTCTAGAATTGGAGAATTGGAGAGCCTGCACTGCTTCCCTAAGTGCTAATGTTTCCTGGACTCCAGGCACTGTCCTAAGCTCTGCACATAAATCACTCCCTTAGTTCTCCCAATAGCCCTGTGACATAGGCTCTATCATTACCCCCATCTTACAGGTGGAAAAACCAAGACACAAAGTGGTTAAGGAACTTGTCCCAGGTCACATGACTGTGGCAGTAGGATTTGGAGCCAGGCAGTTGCACTCCAGAGCCCAGGCCAGTAGCCTCCACACCATCCTGCCGCTCTACACTCTCATAGATCCATCTAGAAGGTGATTCTTAGGGGTGCACCCTGGCCTAGGACCCCACCCCCACCTCAATCCCCACCAGCCCCTCACAAATCGAAAAACATCTCCTGCTCTGTTCCCACCCTACCATGGGAATAATCCCTGTTATTTTCTTATCGTCCTCATGGTCCAGATGCCAGAAGGGCCAAGGCAGCAGCTGGGCTTTGTCCCAATTAACTGCCTTCAGTCTAATGCTAATGGCCATAAACTGCTCTTGAGACAGCCCAGGCATTTTGCAAGCCTGACATATTCCTCCTTAAGCATTTTTTTCAAACACAAACACACAGAACGCTCACACACCATGCCCATGTGCTTCCTATTAACTTTTTTTTTTCAACTTGTTCCAGAGGAGAAATAAACTCTCAAACTACTCTGAGCATTTCAGAATGAAAGAGGTTGGTTGAGCTTAGTTTTTCAGAGGAGGAAGGAATAGAGGGGAATATTAAGACTGACTGAGTTTTAGACCTGAAAGTGCTGATTTTGTGAAAACAGCCCATGATCAGAAGCTGGGATAAATCTTTCTCCTTTCTAAGAATTAAAATCACAATTTTGTAAAAGCAAAAAGGACCTAAGTAGTGCTCACCCCATTATTTTACAGATGGGTAAACTGAGGCACTGCAGCGGAGTAGCTTATGTAAGGTCACAGAGCAAGCATTAGACAAGCCAGGATGCCTCCTGCAAGTCTTAGCTAATCTCATAAACTTCTCGAAACTTCAGCACAGCCATCTCCCCAAAAGGCTCTAGTTTGAGATCTGTATCTGTTTGGATAACACTGCCCCTCCAGTGACTATGCAATAAACATAAAAGAGAGTAGTTCACAGCATCCATTCAGCCTTTGCATGATTGTTTATTTTCTTTTTTGAAGTTCACCCCAGGGTTTTGATAGCTGAAATGTATTTCTTATGGGTTTGATTTTTTTTTTGTTTCTTTTTTGGCTTCTCCTGATAAAACACTGCAATTCACAGATATGACCACAAAGATTAAAGAGAAGAAAATAGTATCTCAAGAGTGTATTGTAAACTTGCTGGTGCCGTGGAGGGGTTAAGAGCTCTGGACCTGGGCTGCAGTCTGTCCTGGCTGCACCCAACACACAACAGCGTGACTTGGGAGGCACTTGGGCTTCTCTGTGCCTCAGTTTCCTCACCTGTGTAACTGACATCATAGCAAGAGAGATGACCTCATGAGACTATCAGGGGAGTAGATGGAATGATTCGTGAGCACATCAGATGAGGTCCATAAAGGCTGGATTTTCTGTTTGTGATTTCTATTATTTCTTCTGTAACATGGTAGAATAAAAGCAATTAAAAGCAGAAAGTCTTGAGCCGAGCCCGTGGCGCACTCGGGAGAGTGCGGCGCTGGGAGCGCAGCGGCGCTCCCGCAGCGGGTTCGGATCCTATATAGGGATGGCTGGTGCGATGCGCTCACTGGCTGAGCATGGTGCAGCCGGTCACAAAAAGGACAAAAATAATAATAATAATAATAATAATAATAATAATAAATAATAAAAGCAGAAAGTCTTAACTCGAGCTGAGTTAACCTAATTCTGCAGTGTACCAGCAGAACTAGAAGGTTAACTAGTTAACTGTGTGACCTTGAACTAAGTTACTTCTCAGAACCTCAGTTTCTTCCCTTATAAGATGGGGATACTATTAGTACCTACCTCATGGGGTGCTATGATAATTAAATGAGCTAATATATGTGAAGTATTTAGAGAGTGCCTGGCACAAACTAAGTGCTCTACACATGTTTATCATCATCATTATTGCCTTTATTAATTACTGTTATCCTAATTTCAAGGTTTGATGATCTATATTCTCTCCAAGTTCACTTCTATTTCTTGAACTCTAACCTTAGTACATAGTCATGGTAAGAGAAAAGAGGAATACTAATCTGAGACTGTCAAGCCATCAATATCATCGTAAACTCCCCTTCTGTCAAACTGTGTGTTAAAGGGGAACTTAACAATGGTGGGTGCCCTCTCCAGTGGAAATTCCTCTTGTATTTACCAAAGACCAGGGAACATTAATGCTGAAACTCAGAACCCACCAGCAGCCATTCAGGAGCAATAAGGAAACATGTGATTCAAAAAAGTGTTGGGAAATCAAAAGTTCAATGAAAGGGTTTGTACACCAGCGATCTCAGCTAGAGACCTCCAAGGCCAGTTTGTGTTGGATTTATGAAATCTCTGTGTCAGATTTATGAAATCTTAGCATCGT